ATTTATTATTTTAAATATATAAGTTATATAATATTTAGATATTATAAGATATACAGTGACAATCAAAAATAATGTAACGCTTAAATTTTTTACTAATTATAATTAGTAAAAAATTTAAGTGTTACATTATTTTTGATTATTACTATATATTAACTTACTATAGTTAATCAAATTCAGAAATTATCTTATATTAAGTTAATAAAATAGATTAAAATTATATAAGATACTATTAATTCTTAATCTTATTATATAAGTATTTAAATATTATAAAGTTTTAACTAAAATAGATAGTTTAAAAAATAATTTATTATTGATTATAATTAGATAAGTAATATAACTAAAGAATTATATAATAATAAATACTATTTAAAAAAAAGTAAATATGAATTTAAATTATAATTTAAAAAATTAAAATATATTAAAATAATTAAAATAATAAAATAAGTAAAAGTTTATTTTAAATTATTAATATAAATTAAAATTTATTAGATAATATAATAAATAATAAGATTTATTATATAATATATATAATATAATAAATAATATAAGTAAAAATCTATATTAAAATTTTAGTAATAAGAAAAAAATTAAATATTAATATTTTATTATATTATCAATAGACTTTTTATATATATAAAATATCAAATATTATATTTTTTATTTTAATAATAATAATAATTATTATTAAATATAATCATAATAATAATTAAATATGATTATAATAAGAATATTTTATATAATATTTAAATTTTAAGTCATCTATTATATTTAATATTTAAAATACTTAATAAATCATATTTAAATTTTTTTAATATATATTTATATAATTAGATATTTTGTAAAAATAAAGTATTAAAAAAGAAAGAGAGTATTTTAATTAGAAAGATATTTTAGTTAATAATTTATAATACTTAATATAAATAATATAGAGAGAAAATTTTAAATTTCATTATATTTTATTAATAAATTTAGCCTCTAAGTTATTATTTTTAATTATTACTATATCTTATAAAATTTTATATAATATAATATAATTAATATATTAGAATATAATTATTAAATCTAAATATAATTAATAAAGTTTATAAGATTATTATATTTATTATAATAGTTAAAGAAGTTATAAATAATATATATATTATTATATTATATTATTATTATTATTAAAAAAATTTATTATAAATAAAAGAATTATACTTTAAGAAAAATATTAATTAATCAAAATATAATTAGCAAAATAATTTATTTATTAAAAAATTATTATAGTAAGAAAATTATTTTAATTATATATATAATAATAATTATATTAAAAGATTAAATTTATTAATAAAATATAATAAAAATTAAAAAAATTTTCTTTATATTAAATTTTATAATTTTATCAATAAATATTTTTTATTTTTATATTAAATTAAAATTTATAATCAATAATTAATTTAATTTCTTTCAGATTTTTTAGATTTTTTTAAAGAATTATTCTAATTACAAGTTATTACAAAATATTTTCTAATTAAAAAATTAAAAATAAAATTAATTAAAAAAAATTTGTAATAACTTTACAATTAAAATAATTTTAGAAAAATTCTAAAAAATATATATTAAATTATAGAGTATAAACTTTAATATAATAAAAAATATTTATTAATAAAATTATAAAATTCAATATAAAAAAATTTTAATTTTATTATATTTTATTAATAAATTTGATCTTCTAATATATTATCTTTAACTATAATAAAATTTTGTATTATAATAAATTATATAATTATTTTTTTTAAAAAAATAAAATTAAGAAATATAATTATAAATCATGAATTATATAATTAAAAAAAGATTTGATTTATATTAATATTATTAATATTATGAATAAAAAGCTATATAATTTATTTAAAATCAGTTATTCATGAAAAAGCAAATTAAAAAATTATAATAAAAAAATAAATAAACTTAAATTAAATATCTAAATTAGTAATATTTAATTTTAACTAAATAGTTATAAAAATTCTAATATAATTTTGATATTCATTCTAATATAATAATAATTATAAAAATGTAAAAATTTGAAAATGGATGTAGAAAAAAAAAGATTTTCTAAGCTTTATTAATAAATAATAAAATCAGCCACCGAGTCGCTAATTGTCATCTGAATATAGATATTCATTTCTAACCGATAAAAGTTTAGATTTCAGTGAAGGGATTTGGATGACACCATCGTAGCATCGTTAGACCCGAGCCATTTTGTATATATGTTTAGAATGAAAAAATTTTTTCAAAGTAACACAAAAGTAGTAATAAACTTTAAGCCCCTTAATATTTGACGTGTATGTCATAAAGACTTTTTTACGTGTAACCATGCAAGCATTTATGGGAAGATGGCGTACGTTACCAAGATTGAAAATCTGCATGCCGGTTTTTGTATGGCAAACTTAGAGTTTCGATTTACGGGCTGGGTAACTCTGTGATTGGAGATGGAAAAGAACGAAAGGCAAGAGGGAATGTGTGCGTGTCATAAACGGTATTGGCTGCAAATGAAAAAAACTTGACAATAATCATTCTATACTATATTATGCTATTGTACATTTTATCATCAGCCCCGAATTTTTCCCCATTTTATTTTATTTTTGTTTTTTTTGTTTGTATGCGTGTCTGTTTTGTTGGTATGTATCTATCTAGAAAGAAAAATCCGGCAACTTGTTTATCTGTTGTTATGACGATTTAGCACATTTATAACATGCCGTGCATATCCCATCGTCGCGCGGGAATTTTATATTCCTTTGGCGTCAAATATTTTTATTAGTTTTTATTTTTTGATTGAGATATTCCGTGAATGATTTAATGACACAATAGATGATTGGATAAGCTATTGTTCAGCAAATAAGAATAAAGAAATAGCAAACGAAAACGCACTAATCACCCGAAATATATATGAACCACGCATGGGACGGTATAAGGTATCTTTCGATCTTGCAGACACGAGCAAACATGAATTTAGCCCTTACCCCAATGGACAAATGATCGAATTATGAAAGGTGTATTAATAGCATGAATAAATAAATGTTGCTATCATTGTGTAATCATTTAATTCTGAAGGTTTTTCCGTTCGTTAATCATCATATCAGCAGATTTTTTCCTGTTAAGACAGTCTTTCAACATCTCATATACCTACTTGTAATGTGTGTAATGTATATATTGGTTTAGCTTGGTTGGTTCGATCTCGTTTAAAATGAAAAAAACCGAGCGGCACGACTTTATCAAAAGGTGACCATCATCATCGAAAAAATTTAAATATAAACAATATAAATACCCGATAAACAATATCGATCCCTCCGTTTCTCTGATTTGATTTCTTAACCAGGGAAAAAATTTTTTAATGATTATGTCTAATGATTTGATTGTTCACACGCCTAAAACTTGTATTTGTCTGACTTACATTCGCTGGGTTACCTGTTGTAGGTATTAGTTCATGAAGCAGAATTCATTGAACCATTACATCTTTATCTCTCTTGGGTATCAATAATGTCCCAATCATAATAATCTCCATACACATAATGATCATATTATTAAAAAGGAACTTTTTTTAAATACAAAAAAGTAAAACTTTTAATAAATACAATAAATACATGCGTTTTTTTGTTTTATCCAATCGTGGTAAACCTCGTGATTCATAGTTTTCACCTCACGCTCAATCAACCACGCGTCAGGATACCCGATTAAAAACAAAGCTTGTTGATTTGTTTAGAATGAGTGAGCATCGAGGGAACAAGAAATTAAACTAGATTCTAATAATAACGATAATAATAATAATAATAATAATAATAAATTGGGCTGTGTAGCTAGATTGGAGATCTCTACGCGAAGGGAAAATCTAAATTTTTTATCATGCAAGTTAGTAATTTATATTTTTTCCATAGATCACGTGTATTACAATCGACAAAAAAACGCGTATAGTTTATTCTGATACGCGACAAGAGAATCTTGAATAAGAAACATTAAAAAATCATTTGAAAACTCGAGATTTTTGCTTTTATTTTAGTTATAAACGCGTCACTATGAACGCGAATATAGCTTTCAAGAATTTCTTCATTCAATTTTATTTTATTTTTTTTCATCTCAATCGTGTGCATCTTTTTCAAAGAACAAAAAAAGAAAAGTCATAATCTTTGTTTTATGCTATGCAGCTATGTAAACATGTGTAAAGTTATTCTTGATTTATATTAAATTTTATCTTTGTGAAAAATAATCGCTATTTTTGGGGTAGATAATAATCATCGTCTTGTAAGTATGATGGTTGTACTTTACTACCACCACCATACCACAAATTATTACACGAAATATGGTAATGTGTATCAAAAAAATCTAATCTAAATCTTTTAAGTGAATGTATATTATTATGTATGTAAATAAGTAGACAATAAAAAGTAGTATTATATATTTATCAAAGAAGAATGTATTTATTTGGGGGATATTGGGGGGAAAGTATATCAAACAAACTAATAACAAAGATCTCCTCCCCTTCCTACTCACCTTCGAAAAGGAAGGAGAGGGAAGGAGGCGAGACGAGAAAAAAATTATGCAAAGACTAAAGTACAAAATGCAGGGAGAAAAAAAAAAGAATAGGGAAGATGTCTAAAAACTGTACAAGAGAAAACGGTATAGCTAAAGGGTATGTGAGTTATGTATATTGCGAGTAAAGATTGCTTATATATTGAGAAATTTGCGCTACAAATTAAGCGCCTTTACAAGAGGATGGATATGTTACGATTGGATATTTTTTGCTATTCGAAAGAAAAAAAAAAAAGTAAAAAATGTTCCAATTATTCACGAGTAGTGATATTGATACAAATAGAAGAAGTAGTAATTATTGTGTCTTGAGTGTAATCATCCAATCCAATCTATCCTGCTATTATTATTATTATTATTGCTATAATTATTACTATGAAACTTAGTATATTATTCTCATTAAGTCCAATTATCAATAATCGAGAAGAAATTATCATTTTTCAGACTACTGTCGTGGGAAATTGCATACTATTGATCTGTGCAAATCCAGCGGGTGAACGAGCATTCAAGAAATTTGACTGCAAATGAAGTTTTCTCGCTGCAGATAAGAGTTGCATCTGATCCAAAAGTTCCAATCGATATTGTTGTTGTTGTTGTAAATGTGCTTGTTGTTGGGAATTTTGAAAGTAGAGTTTTGTCGTGTTGTTGTTTTGAACACCATAATATTTATGGTGAGGATGTTGATGTAGTTGGTTATGATTTGACGATGAATTTAAGAAGTTCATCGTATTTGATGAGTTGGCGAATGATGGAAGTTGATAATAAGTGACTGATGGAGGATTTGTTGGTCTCGTTGCAATGTATTGTTGCATTATTCGTATTGTCGGATTAGTCGTTTGTTGTTGTGATTGTGAGGAAGAGGAAGTGGAAATAGGAGCTGAAGGATAAATTGGGACTCTCTTTGGTGGGGAGGTAACAACTCCGGTATCAACAAAAGCTTCTTCAGCAGATCGTTTGAATGAATTTGATGGTGTTGAAGTGATTTCCATTGGAATCACACCGCCAGCACTCATATTATTATTAATTGCGATTGCACAATCCGCCTGCGTCAATCGGTCACGATTTGAATTCATTTGGGAAATTTCCGATTCCAACACAAATTGATCCATTACTTGTAACCAGTCAAAATACTGATCTTCTGAGACGTATAGCGAGAAATTTAGTGATCCCAAGAACTCAATTTCCATTATATTTATTTCTCGAACAGAAATGTTTGTTACTTCTGACCACGTTTTATTCGTATAAGTGTTATCATCCAGGAACTTATTTGCCAACATTAACGCTACCGTGAAGGTTCGGTATTCAGATCCGGGATGACCTTGTATTGCGGGATTATTCGACTTCATTCGAGAAATATATAATAAGGACAATAGTATTACAGAATGCGAGACTTGAGTAGCCGTTATGACATCACGGCAAAATTTCTTAAATGCATCTCTTGGTCGAAAATCTGAGAACCTTGGTCTTAGTGATGATGATATTATTGATGATGATGAGTTCCCTCCAGGGGTTAATAATGATGATGTGGAAGATGAAGATTGATATTGATCTGTATTTATATCACTAAACCAAAGATAGCAGGACATTTGTGCAGCGAAATCTGATATCTTTTCTGTTGAGAATTGATCTATTCGATATGTGCTTCTTCGCTTTTGTTGTGGTGGTTGCTGCTGTTGTAACGATGAATTTATCATTATCGTTTTAGAATTAGTTTGCTGTTGTTGTTGTTGTTGTTGTTGCTGTGGTGCCATTATTGAAGTATAACGGTAATTTTGCATTTTAAGTTGTTTTTAATAATAAGAGGTTGTAAGTTGTGTGTGTGTTTTTTTTTGGCTGTTCGAATAATTTGTAGTAATTCTAGTTTTTTGAATTTTTTTGATCCAGAAATAAATCAAGAAAGGGCTCCTTTTTAAAGAAAATTGTGACTTTGAGAGAGAAGAGTAAAGAAAAAATAAAATTTTTCGACTTGTGTTTATCGAACGTGTTAAGAAAAGAATTTGTAAAAAAAAAATAAAGTGTGTACTTTATACGTTTTTTACTATTCCCCGCACAATTTGTTATATATACTTTTTTTATTTATGTATGGTATTGTAAAATATGTGTGTGTTGTTGGTATTCACTATTTTGGCTATGTTATAGTGAAAAAAAGTGAGATATAGAGGGTATTTATAAACGTTACGGAATGTGGTATTTATATTGCATAAAAAGAAATTATAATATGTGCATATTGGGCAATAGGGTGGTGATGATTAGTGCGGTATGAAAGTAGTATATCATAATCATCATATTAATAATATATTATTATAATTTAATTATTATTCGTGGTTTATTATTATTTATGTATATATATATATATAATATATTATTGTTTTGTTGTTGTTGTTATTATTTTTTAATGCCGATAAAACAAGTCTGGAAATGATGTCGATGATGCAGAAAAAGACGATGAATGAATTCTTGGTTTGTTTTATAATATAAAAAGTAGTCTAAATCTTAGATAATATTATATACATGTATATACACATAATATATTATTATAATAACAATATCATAAAGTAACAACGACAGTAACGTTTTAGTGTTTTTTTTTCAAAGTATAATAAAGTTTTTTTTTGTTTTTGTTGTGTTGTTCTGTTCTTGTTCTCGTCTATTAATTGATTAAGATGAGGAAAGGAGGATGAATAAGTGATTATGATTATAAATAAAAAAAGGTTAATTTTATTTGCTTGTGAAAGAGAAAAAAGAAAAAAGAAAAAAAGAAACAACAGCAGCAGGAGTTAAGAAAAGCAGGTGTAAACATTATTATTATTATTATTATTGTTTTTTTTTTTTTTTATTTATTTACTATTATTACCTATACTATTATTGGTGGTTAATTAGTGGTTTAATTAAGGGAGGAAAGAGGAGGATGATGAACAAGTAACAAACATCATCTCCATCTTCTTTCTTGTTGTTTTTGTTATTATGATACATGGAATAAGGATGGGAATGGGGATGAGATGGAGGATGGATGATCGAATAATAGATAAACAGCACATGTTGATTTATACTACGAAACATAAATAAGTATATGATTCATTGATGTGCACACGAGAACACGAAACCCAAATAATAAATACTATAATAATTAATCATCATCATCAATTATTTGATTGTTAATTTTGTTGACATTTTTCTCTTGGTCTTCTTGATTATATGTTATACGTTATATGGTTTGGGACTTTTTTTACATATATATATATATATATATAAATGTATATCTCTCTCTATATAAATATATACATATATATTTTATTCTAATTTATTTTAAAGTATACACCACAGACAGACCGACACACACGGTACATCTTAAATTAGTATTAACGTATAAAAAAAATTAAATTAAATTAAGAATGACATGTGTGAAAGAGAAAAAAAATGTGTGTGTATATTCCTATTCTATTTTATTTGGTAAGCTAATTTAAAAAAAGAAACATACACTATTATGGGAAGAAAAGCGTTAACGGCGTGGGCGCGGAAAAAATTGTAACAACAACAAACACTATTTTCCCTTATATCACTATATTACCGCTATTTTTAATTAATTAGCCACCTCTTACTAACTAAATTATTTTAATAGAGACGATATGGTGGTCTTACTCCACGTAAACGTAAACAACAATAAATAATTCTACGAATAAAAGCGGGGCAGAGCAAAATGACCGATTCTTTTGATTCTGACTCATGATTCACTCGCAGGAAGCATACCCGATTTACAAATTCAGAATATTACTAATGTTAAAATTTATTAAATCTTTGTAAGATTCCAGATTAGATTGTCTATGTACTTCATTTATATTAAGTGTAATAAATACAATAAGTACACATTACATATTACATGTGTGTTCTATGTATCTGGGAAAACAAACTGGGAGCCAAAGAAACAAAAGCATAAATGATTAACCTGCTGAATATGAATAAACGAATAATCCCTTATTTTTCTAAACATTGTGGCACAAAACTTTTCAGGGATTATTTATCTCTATATAAGCGAAATAACAATAAATAACTATGGTGATAAGGCTATGCGCCTAAAAAATGGAAACAAACAACTCCCAAAAATGAGACTTGAATTTTCCAGTTTTGAGCTCACATTCCCTTTACCGTGTAACACACTCGCTAATGACAATAATCAAATACTGATTGATCACACGGACCAATTAAAATCAAAAACTAACTCACCCGCGAACTTACCAATTCGAAGATCGCGGAGCAACCCAATGACCAACGCCAGAACGTACTTTCTTGTCGCACTAAACACTTTCCTTGCAACCATTTCTCGCATTGCAATCTTCTTTAAGGGGTCTAACCTTTTGTGTCAGTTTAACTGATAACGTTAGCTCTCTTCTTGACGAGGGCAGTGGCGGATGCCAAAGAGATTTGCCGATATTTTGATGTTTATGTTGAGCTTTTTTGGAGTTCTTCGATATTCATTCTTCGTGTTTTTTAAAGTATTTTGGTTTCTCGTGTTCTTCTCGACGCGTTGGTCTGGATGATGCTACTAATTCTTTTTTGGCTTCAGCGTAAACGTATGTTACGTCAGTTCCTGTCCAGGTATGTTGTTGAACGATAACGGAATCTCCATTTTTGTTGAAAAGTATCGATGAGCTATTATTGTCGTAATTTGTTTTGAGAAAACGTTCGAGTCGCCGTTTGATATGTATCATTATAGATAATTAAGATATGTAGGAAGAAATATGTGCACAAGCCAACTTCCCTATAACGACACTTTAGAGTAAAACCACCTTAATAGTGACCAAATTAGCCAGGATAATTTCATAGTAACTATAGAAAAATTGACCACGACAGTCTCTAAATAATGACTAAATTAGCCAAGACAATTGACGTCATTGCAGAGAGGTTGACTTGTATTGAGAAAAAAATCAAGGTGATGAAATTAACTACACAGCGACTTTCGATATAGCTTAGACTAATTAAAACGTCGATATAACGAATAGAGGTTCAGAACAGCCATAATAAATCTTACTCAATATAACGGATTTACTAATAAACTCACGATAAAGCAATATTTTTGTTTTCTGCGTATTTTAATTTATATGTTGGTGTAATGTTGTAAAGAAAATTCTCGTACTATTGTGAGAAAAGGAACTTTCTCGTTTATAATGGGTGATGCATTATCGTGGTATTTAACGCAAAACTCCGTTATACACAAAATTATAATGCTTTTTTCTTCTTTTGATTATTTAATTTGAGCGGAAATATATTTCCATCCGTTGAAAACGTATCTTCCCTTTACTTTGGCATTGGATATTCCATCTTGACTTTTCAAATTTTTGTCGCTAACAACAAAAATATAAGCTAGCTCTCTAATTTGATTTGGGCGTTTCTGGTATGGTAATTACTAGAGAAAATAGCTAGATCCTGTTTTGCAAAAAAAAAATACCATATAAAAAACAAATATGATAATATTTTATTTTTCTCAAGCCTCAATACTATAAATCAGGGTTAGCATTGCGAATATTCTGGTTCGTGGTCACATGCACAACACAATCCAATAAGAATGCGCAAATTTTTCAAACCAAATCCGAAAATGAAAGTCAAAATCTGACTTGAAGCTCTAATAAAAAATGTCGGGAAGACAATTTTACATATAATTTTTTGTCTTATCCCTACTTTAACCCCAACCTAACGAAAATAATTGCCGGCGCATATATGATTTACGCATTCTTATTGGTTTATCATCATGTGATCAGGAACCGAGCACAGATCCAATATTCGCGTTAGCATTTGGCTGCGGCCAAGAATTTTTTTGGCCATTTGGCCAAGTTTGGCCGGCCAAATGGCCAACTGTTAATTCTGCATTGATTGAAGTTGATTAATTATAAATTTGGCCATGGCAAAAATTTTCTTGGCCGTTTGGCCGGTCAAATGGGCCGTGGCCACATGTCAACCCTGCTATAAATAGCGTAAAATGCTCTGTATAGTTCCCTATAAACAAGTTAAACCTTAATTTAATCCGTCTTTTTTTATAGAACTAATTATTTGTTTCGCAAATATGTAAACTTAAATTCGCAGTGTAAATTCTTAAAAATTTTAGTTAATAATTTACAAGCCTTGAGATTAAATTAAAATGCAAAATTTTTAAATTTATTCAATATTAAAAACAAAAAAAATCTAATAACTTACAGTATAATATAAATAATATAAGGTGAAAGGAAATATTTTGATAGAGAATTATTATAATAAAGATATTATGTCACAATATTAATCTTTTTTCAATCTACTTTCAAGTGATAAGTAAATATGCGAAAAAATAATATTTTACATATATTTACTTATCAATTAAAAGTAATTAAAATCAATATTGAACTATAATATCTTTATTACAATACCTCTTTATAAAAATATCTTCTTTTATCTTAAAAATTATATTTTATTAAATATAAATTTTCAAATTAAATAATTTAATTAATAATCAAAATATATGTAACTTCTATAATTATAAAATTAAGTAATTAATTTATTAATAAAAATTAAATTTTTTCTTTATATTAAAGTTTATAATTTTATTAAGAAATAATTTTTTATATTATTTAAAATATATTTTTTAATTATATTCTTAAAAATATAATTATAAAGAAATTATAATTAATATAAAGATCAAATTTTCTATATTTTATAATAATTAAAATCAGAAAAATTTGTAATCATATGAAGAATATAATTGTATAAGAAATAACTATATAAAAATATAACTATACTTTTATAATTAGAATAAAATTTCAAAAAATTCTAAAAATTCTAAAAAAATAAATTAAAAAAATATTATTTTATGAAAATAATTTAATTAGAATAATATTATATTAGTATATTAATTATTATTTAAATTTTTCTTTTTTATATTTATATTTTAAAAAATAATAATATTTTTTAAATTATAAATTATAAATTTTAATATATTTTAACTTTTATTATACACAGTAGCTCTCTTTATAATGGATCTTCTTTACAGTGAAGACTAATTAAAATCACGCTATAGTGAATAAAGATTCAAAACTATTTATAATAAATTCTATCTGATATAGTATATTTACTAATAAATTTTCAAAAACTCTTGATATAATGGATTTTTGAGAATTTTTTACTAATAAATTTTTTTGATACACTATAAAGAGAGTTACTGTGTATATTTTAATATATATCTTAAAATAAAATATAATTAATCTTTATAATTTTTTATATTATTTTATTTAATAATAATTAAAAAGCTTTTTCAAAATAAGAAAATTATTTTTTTTAAAAAATATATTTAAAATATTATTATTATTAATTTATAATTTAAATTTTTAATTATATATATTAAATTTTAATAATTATTAAAAAATTAAGTTTTAAAATTTAATAATTATTAAGTTATATCTTTTATTCTTATAATTCTATTAATGAAAAATTTCAGATTAATTTTTTATATTAAGAATCAATTATATTAATTATATAAATTATACATAATAATAATGATAATTAAATTATTATAAATCAAAATAAAACTATTATTATAAATCAAAATAAAATTATTACAAAATAAAATATTATTAATCAAAATAAAATTATTACAAATCAAAATAATATTAATATTAATATTATAAATCAAACTATTATAAATCAAATACTATTTTTTCTTTTTTTTTTATTTAATTTACACTTGATAATTAATAATTTCAAATTCATAAGTCAATAATAATAAACTTTAATAATTTTAAAAATTTTAAAAAAAGTAATATTAATACTAAAAATAAATTTATATTATCAATTATTTTAGTAGTTACTTTTTATTTTTTATAAATATCTATATTAATAATCATTATTTATTTTTCATAAATATTTTTATTAATAAAACAAAAAAAAAGTATTTAAAGTCAAATATAAGCTGAATATAAAAATAACTTGATAGAAATAAGAATAAATAGAATGTTAAATATAAAATTACAAGATATAATATAATTTTTTCTTTGAATACTATTATATTTTCTTATATTTATCATTTTAATCATGTTTATTTTATAATAAAAAATATATTAACTATTTAAAAAAAAGAAATAAAATAATAAATAATTCAAGAATATAATATAATAATTTAGTTATTCTTAAAAAATAAATAGAAATAAGCAAATTTTTATCTTTTAGAATTTATAATTGATAATTTATAATTATTTATATTATTGAAAAATAAAAAAATTCAAAATCTTTTTAATTATTCAATATCTTAATTATAAGATTTTATATAATAATATAATTAAAATTTTAATTATAAAAAGTATTAAATTTTTATATCAAATTTTAACTAACTTACTTAATAAAACTATAATAAAAATAAGTTTTATAACTAATTTATAAACTGAATTTTACTAATTTTATATTAGTATAACTACTTATTAAATAATTAAGAATTTTAAGTTTCAACAGATCCTACTTATAATTAAGAAAATATTATATAATTATACTAATACAAATATAATTATAAAATTATAATATATATTTAATTATTAATATATTAATTTATAAGAATGAATTATTACTAATATAAGTAATAATAATATAAAAATATTAAAATATTATAAAACTTATAAATTACTAATTTTTTTTATTATATATATATTATTTATTTAACTATATCTAATGAATTATAAATTAATTTCTGTCAAAAATTATTAGAAAAAACAAAAATACTTATTTTTTTTATTTATTATAATAAATACTAAAATTATTTTTTTAAATATAAAAAATTTTTTAATTTGATAAAAAATACTTATTTTAATTTAAGATATTAATACAAGATAAAATTCTTTATATAAAGTTCTTAAAAAACTTTTTATTTTAAATTTATAATTCAAATAATATATAAAGAAATATAAATAAATAATAATATTAAAATATATAAAAATAGTAATAACTTAACTATATTATTTATATAAGAGATAAATAAAATAATATAAAGAAATTAATATTTATTTTTTATCTATTTATGTAAGTTATAAATTTTTTAAATAATATAAATTATTTAATTATTTCAATTCTTTATCTAATAATTAATAATCTTTTTTAATATATATAACATAATATTTAATAACTTATTATTAACTTATTATTTAAATTCATAATATTATTTTAAAATTAATAAAAAATTAATAAGAAGATTCTTAATATCTTGAATTTTTAATATCTTTAATAAATCTATATTTTAAATTACTTACTTTTATTTTATCTTTACAAAAAGAATATATATTATTTCTAATTTATAATTATATTGGTTCATCATTAAAAGTTAGATTCTCTTTATTAATAATTAATTCATCTTCTCTTATATTATAATTTTTTAAGAAATTTAAAATACAAAATATATAAAACTAAGTCTAAATTAAATTTTTATATAAATATTCCTATTTTTTCTTTAATTAAAAAAAATAATCTAATTCTTTAATAAAAAATTAATCATAATACTTTTTCTTAATTATCAAAAATTATTTATTATTATTTATTTATTCTTATAAGTTCAGTTCTAACTAAAAGATTATTTTCTAATATAGATAATATTTTTATTAAGAAATATAATTATTTTAATTTAATTATTATTTTAAATCTTTTATTTTTTATAATTATTTCTAAATAACTTATAATATAATTTATAATATAATATAATTTTTATAAT